AATAATAATAATAATAATAATAATAATAATAAAAGTAAATTTTCTTTCTTCTTCCCTTTAGCAACATTATTAGGGCATCTTCCAATGCTTACTTCGTTTCTTCGTTACTGTTAAAGAAATTGAGTAGAATATGCCAAAAAAATTACATACCAAACTTAGCTGAACAATAACTGAGAGGAGCGATGAAAGAGAAGAAAAAAGAAACTGTTAGTGTTGAAAACAATAAAATAGCAAAAGAAAAATTTTAAAGATAAACAGAGGAAAAAATGGAAAAAAAAAAGATATTAGGAGAAGGAGGAGAATAAGTTCATTCAGCCCAAAATATTATGCAAATTTTTATTTCTTTTTCCAGTTATTAACAACTTTTTTTTTATCAGCTTTCCTTTCACTAACAATAAAATACAATATATGAAAAGCACAATAAAAAAAAATGAAGCAAAATGAATTATCATAAATTGCAATATGTTATCAGAGTCTGTCTGATGTTTCCGTTGTCCTGTTTTAAACCCCTTTATATTTTTTTGCTTTTACCTCTTTATAAAACGCCTTTTACCCTTCTTCCCGTTTCCAAAAACCCCAACCCCCCCCCACCTCGTCCCAGTGATATTAGCTGTAATAGTAGTAATATTAGCTAGATTTACCTGTCTCATCATTCTTCTCTCCCACATTCTTTTCGTCGTCATCGTCTTCTTCTTCTTCAACACATTCAAATCTATTTTTTAAGTTGTTGGCAATTTGCCAAAAAATTGATGCAAAATAAGTGAAACAAAGAAAATAACACTAAATTAACAGTACTATGGTACCCGTTCGATGGATGAATAAACTAAGAACAAACAAAAGTGGAAGAAAAAGAAGAAAATAAAAACAAAAAACAGAAATGATTTTTCTTCTCCACTTTTCTGCCTGAACTATTTTTCGAAAACTAGGTGGGAAAGAGGATGACAAAAAGCCAGGAGTACAACCAGAAAACAAACAGAACCATCAAAATCTTTTTTAAAATGAAAAAAATTTGTGAATAAAATGAGTAAATAAATCAGAAGTTATACTATATAGAAATTTTTTGCATTCTATTCAAAACCTTAATAAATACTATTTTATTAGAAACGATTACAGTGTGTTCATTTTGCACTATTCTCACTGTTGCTTTTTTCTTCCTTTCTCTTCTAAACTTTTTTTTCTTGCCCCATTTCTACCTCCCTCCCCCCTCCCTTCCATCCTTCTCGTCCCCGTCAACAATAAACGAAGTGCAGAAAAAAAATGAAGATAAGAAATACCAAAACCCAAGAATGAAAAGACGAAATAAAAATTTGAAAGAAAAAAGAGTAAAATATAACGAGGTAAAATTGTTGAGAACTGTTTCAACGCCATACGACAATAAAATAAAAAAAAAGAAAAACAAGAAAAGTTTTTTTTCTTTTTTTTTTTTGAAAATGGGGAGCTAACAATGTAATTAGAAAAGAAGAGCAAACACAAAGGATCTTAAATTTAAAAAAAAAGAAATGTAGAAAAAAAAGAAGAAAAAAGCAAGAAAAAAGGAAGAACAATTAAGACCCGCATAACTTATAATGTGAATGCTATGAAGTTAAAAAACTGTAAAGAATTTTATAACCTTAATTAGGGAAAAAGACACAAATGAGAAAGTTGCTGAGAAAGAAGAGGAAAGATAGGTGTAAAAATAGAAAAATCGGAAACGAAGGATAGACGAGGAATTTCAAATAAAAGATGACTGATTTTACACACTGCATAAATGGGCTCTCCCTACAAATTTTGTAGATTATAAAAGAAAAACAGAAAGAAAAAAGAAAGTATGTTAATATTGAAACAAAAGAAAATAAATAAATAACAGTAATAACATTGATACTAATTATACTAATAATAATAGTAATAGTAATAGTGACAATAATAATAATAATAATAACAGTTAAAAATTGAAACTAAAAAATGCCTTCCCAAAGATTAATAAATCAAGAAGAAATCAGAAAGAAGGAGAAGAATTTTGAAAAAAATTATTCTACTTTTCTGCGACACTTTTTCAGTTTCTGTTTTCC